GCTATTAATTTTAAGATAGTGGTTTAAATTATTGGCTATAAGATGTTGGATGAATGATATAAAAAGGGCTTTTTAAAGCTGAAATCGTCATTGAAACAGCAACGTTCTCAACATGAAAGTTTTGTTTGCAGCTCTTGTTGTGCTCGTCAGCCTGATGATGACGAAAGGCAACGTTGTCGATATATCTTATCAACTGATGTGTAGTAAGTTCATTTTCAGACTTTATTGATGTATAAATACCAAGTAATCCTGTTGCTAAAATAAGTATTATCTTTTTGCATTTTACTTAATCAGTAGGAAAACAAAGCAATAGAGAAATAAAATAAAATGTTATTAAAACAAAGATTTATCATATACACAACTGGAATAGTATAATTAACAAAAAATGTTAAAATTGTCTCATTAGTCCCGATGTAATTTTCAATGGTTCTAAAAACTCGAGAGTCAGTTTTGAAAACTTCGACAAACATCTTTCATCTAGATTATACATCAACTTCTGGAATAACTTGAGTTAAGCTATGTACTTTTACACCCAACTTATTCTCTTTCAAAAATTATTTTTACAAAAACTGGTTCGTGACACGAGAGAAATATGCTCTTCAGGTAAATCAAACATATTTTTATTTTATGCAGAGATGAATAAAGAAAAGCCTGAAACAATTAAAGAACTGAGACAGTGCATCGGACAGTTTTTTAATGGAAAACCAAAATGGGTTTGTGTTTGTAGTATTATTATTGTATTATTGTTTAAGTTTTAAACAATGTGTTGCTAACGTGAATCTGCCAACAATAACCGATCATCTCTTCAGTGAAAAACCTTCTTGATATAAAAATTATATTTAAAATTCAAAGTTTTATTATTTGCTTTTTAAAAGGTACACGTTTAATTTACGGACAATATAAACAATCTTGTACCTTAAAGAATCAAGACAGGGTTGTTAAAATACTTGTTATCGTACTTGAATAGCTATCATATAACAGTGTGTACCACATTAAAGTTTGTTAAATATCAGCTACAAATCTAAAGTGTTTTATTTCTTCACGTAATAAATTCAAGTTTAAAACTTTGTATGAATAATTTTCCCCGTACAAAAATACGGAAAAAAATGAAAAACATAACTAAAATAAAATTCTCTGTCTTTCTTTCAAAAATATTACTTACTTTCAGTTTATAAAAAGTAGTTTATGTCTAAATACAATTTAAATATGTAATTAAATTTTATCTTTATTTATTTGTCACAAAATAACACATTCCTAACACATTAATTTAAGTATGCAATTAAATGTTATGAAAATAAGATCGTACAATATAATATCAAAGTATATCTATCACAAAATATTTTTCATGTCAAGCTTCATGGCGCAATTCAAGAATGTAAAAACGAAAAATTTCCTAGCGAGAAGTTCGACAAGTACTTAACTGAAATGTGTACTGAAGAAAGAGAAGCGGATTTACAGGTGATGATTGAATATTTTAATATTTTATATTTAATCTACGTTAACATAATAAAACTTTATTTTAGCTAACGTATGAAGAACTACTACAGCAAGAAGATTATTTTATATAACCACGAGGTTGCAGCACAATTGATAAATCAAAGAAATAAACTTTCCGTACTATACAGAATATTTAATTTTAGAATACGTACTATGAGTTTTTGATTACATTATCCAACAGATGTGTTTACAGTGTAGATATATGAGGCTAAGTAGCTACAGCGCCTCGAATAAAATTTGGATCCTGACGTCATTCGAAAAAGTGAATGTAGCTGAGTCAGTCTTAGCTTCAACTTTTCGTTCGAGGCCATGTCTTGTCAATTTCAGTCCTCTATGTGGTTTAATTTAATTCTAAATTTTATTCTATAAATCTGAAAGCATCTTTAAACAATTTTATACGCAGATCTGTGTTTTATATAAAATGCAACTACCTATATCTGTCTAATCAAAATTAATGTTTACAGTTTTCCAAATTTTGTGATGTTAATGTTCGAAACGTCTCTTTTTGAAACATATTATTTATTTAACTGCACTTAACTAGTGATTTGATTAAACATAGCTACAACAATACAGAACTATGGTATTACTTTGTTTGTTTGTAGTTAAGCATAAAGCTACACAATGGGCTATCTGTGCTCTGCTCACCACGGGTATCGAAACTCGATTTCTAGCGTTGTAAATCCACAGACATACCACTGTGCCACTGGGGGGCCTATGGTATTACAAGGATAACCATATCACACAGTTACCTGTTCTTCACAATAATGGTGATCTGAGGTTCTAATAATAGTATGGAAAGACCAGAGCAGTGATTTATCAAATGTGGAATGAAGAAACATGTGAGTAGGGTAAAATATAGCAAAATTTTGAAGAAAAATCTTCAAACTCTGGAAATATGTCCCTCATGACTCCGTGTGTATGCAACGTGTATTATAAAAAACCAACTGCATGAAGTAACTATATAGTCGCCCAGGACACTACAACTAATAAGAGAGTGAGATATATGATATATACCTACCACAGAACTATAATTAACTTTAAAGGTTTAAACAAATACATTTTATGCTTGTACAAACTTCCACTCTTGTAATATGTTAAATAACATTAAGTCTTATTTATCTGTGCTTGCAGGATGTCAAAGAATGTATCGGTGAGCAATTTGCAGCAGCTCAAGTGGATCAAGAAACTTCATACACTGAAATAATTAACAAATGTTTCTGAAAACATAAATTAATAAAGTTAAAATATACTAATATGTTAGCAATAAATTAAACAACTATCTCTGAGCTTGAATATCTTCTTTGCTGAAAAATGTATAAACATTATTATTTACAATAACATCAAAAATGTTTGTAGTTTCAAATAACATAACGTGTTGTATAACGGTTAGACGTTGTAGTAACTATTTATGTATAATAACTTTCAGTTTGAATAAAAAATACCAACAAAATTAAAATCGTATTACAAATAATATTATTAATTAATCTGTTTAATTTTGTAGCATAGTAGACTGATGCATTAATCATTCTTTTATATTTCCAAATGTTAATGTTATGAAAACATTTGGTTATTTATTAAAGTTTTTGACATTCCATTATAGAGGTTAATAAAGATCGTTAAATGTGAAATATTATGACTAAAAATCAACATTTCACTAGAATTGAGTTCTTCAATTCCTTCACTGTATTAATTTGGAATGTTTGAACATTGTTAACTTTTAAAAATATATTTTTATATAAAACTAACAGCAAAATACAATACACTTACTATAGCTCGTCTCCCTTCTTGAAAGAAAAATGAAACATTTAGTGGTATATTTCTTACAAACTATTAAATAATTAGAAAATTCATACACATAAGAAATATAATACTGTTATAAAAAAACCAAAGGGTATTCAGTTTGCCATATAAACCAGTCAGAATATTAATTATATGGGGATTTTAAGACAGATAATCTTCGTTCTAAAGTTTCAGGTACACTACACTTTAGAATAATAATTCTGAGACAATGAATGTTATACGATTATTGGACACCAAAGACAATTGTGTCCTGTTTACGTCCTATACATTAATATAAAACTGTGTATGTATATACACATATAAATATATATAGCAACACTTTGTATGGAATCAAATACGACATCATTTAAGAAATATCAACTAATATAAATAACCTGAAATCAACTAAAATAATGAAACACATAATTATAGTATTTTGGCAC